AGGACAAATTTAAAGAGATGCCAGTTTGAGGGGGGAATTGAGACCTGGGAACATTTATACAGGGAAGGGAGGAGCCCTCTACAGGGAGAGATTGAAGATAGAGCCTGGATGAAAGGGAGCCTTCTCTGGCAATGGTCATGCTGCTCCTCAAAAGAGTGACCTCCCTGTCACTATTAAAGCACGCTCATGGTCAGGAATGCTAGAGGAAGGGCTCTTCCTTTGATCAGCCTCGCTCAACCCCAATGATACCTTCTAACTCTTAGATTCTTCAACATGATAGTAATTTATTGATCTTTTTGTATTTGAATAGCTATACACTGACGGAGGTAGGATATTCACATAGATTGAAGCTACATCACGGATGGAATCATCTAGGTCTGCATAGGGACTGTTGATCACTTGACCATCCCAGCTCTCTCTGATTCAGAGATCACAATGAATTTAGGGTAGAGGTGACTGTCAGGCTAACCATCTCCTTAGCCACCTCCCCATGTCCACTTTGGTTTCAAAGTCTACCTGCCATTTTAATTCAACTCAACACAATTCAGTTAATCATACATCCATTGAGTATGTGCAAAGGATGTTTACAAAGGTTGTATGATGATAAGAACATGCGTTCTGCCTGCAAGAAATGCAGTTTTTCCCCAGTCGTTCATCTTTTCTGTGAACTGGAAATAAACAGAAGAGAAATGAACATAGCAACCAGGGTAGTGGTTTTCAAACCATGTCTACAGAACCCTCAGAGTCTAAGGAAGTGCTCCTTGACCACAGAAGTGGGTGAAGGTAGGAGAGGTTCCAGGCCTTCCCATTCCAGTGTCAACTCAAGTAGCTCTACTTTCATTTTTTTTTTTAATTTATTTATTTGAGAGAGAGAGAATGAGAGAGAGCATGAGAGGGAGGAGGGTCAGAGGGAGAAGCAGACTCCCTGCCAAGCAGGGAGCCCGATGCGGGACTCGATCCCGGGACTCCAGGATCATGACCTGAGCCGAAGGCAGTCGCTTAACCAACTGAGCCACCCAGGTGCCCTACTTTCATTTGTTTTAATATATTTGGGTGTCATAGGTTTTTGTTTGAACCAAGAGTTCTGAACTTAAGCCGCACCAAAGTAATGCTTGATCATCACAATTAAGAAAGGCATAATGCTTAATACTAAGAATTACCAAAAAAGGCAGATCAAAAGCATTGATAAAGGGGTTAATTTGGTCTTCCCAAACCTATTCAGGGATTAATTCATCAGAAAAACAGATATATAGCAGCAGGCATTATAGCAGTCCCGTGCTGGGCACTGGGGAGACAGAGATGAAGAAAACCTGGTCTCTACCCTCAAGGACTTCATAATCCAGTAAAGAGACAGACAGGGGAATGGTCACTCTGGGGCGGAATGTGGCTTGATTGAGGTACGGATTAAGGACAATGAGGAGACAAAAGTGACAACAATGAATGTCGTCTGAGAAGTAAGGGAGAGAGGATTTTTCTGGGAAAAGCTTCGCAAGAGACCTGTTTAAGCTGAGTCAAATATATGAGAGTTTGCCAGGAAAAGGAGGAAAAGGGTGTACACCCATCCCTGCCCCAAGATCAGGCAGAAGACAGCCAAACGCTGGTCGTCAGTAAATGTATGGGGACAAGCTGAATGAGTGATCTTGGCAGCTTTTCCCTCAGGCGGCACCTGGGCCTCTCAGAGGCCCTAAGTGTTTCAGAGCACTTCCTGTCAGTCTTGGGCTCCAGGTCCGTGTCCTTCCAAGTACTGCCACCTAGTGGCCATGCTCAATGTCCACGTTTCCCGAGAGAGTCTTGACTGGATGCAGACCAGGAATCATTTCAGTCTTCCCACCGATTTTAGAGTGGAGGAAACAGTGGGCATATAACAGTGACAAATGACTTCTCTGGGAACACAGAGTTTGTGAGAGCCGGGACTGGAATCTGTGACTCCAGGAAGGTTAGGTGTGATCTAGTTCACCCCCTGCCACCCTCTGGCTCTGGCAAGCTTGTACTGAAAGTTGAGTGAGACTCAACTTGGTGGCTGCCTCTGGAGTGTGCTTAAAATCCTCATCCAGGTTTTGGTGTGGTTGGGACAGTTTTAGAGAGAAAGAATGTGCGAATAAATAGTGGAGCTGGAGAGAAAGGAAGGGGATATATCCTCCCCACTGCACCCTATCCCATCAATGTAGCCTTCAAACCTGTTTTTTAGCAATGAGAAAAAGTGGCTAGTGATGTTGTGGGGATGGACAGAGACTATATACATCAGGCACTGGGAGTCACCATGTTGAAGAAAGAAGGAGAGGGGGCTCTTCAGCAATATCCTTTCTGAAGAATGGGTGGGGGCGGGGGAACCCCATGGCCACAGGCAAAGAATAGCCAGAGACAGGGCTAAAGGCCTCTGAAAACACCTGTCAGCTGCTGAATGTCCAAAAAAAAAAAAAAGTGCATTCAAATAGGATTCTCTGTTCAAGCCAACCATTTACATGCAACATGTTTCAGAAGCCCAGCTGGGATTACAGAATTCACTGTGGTTTCAATCTGTACCATGACAAAGCCATGCACTCAACTATCCTGATTGAAATTCATATGTCACTGTGTGTAGATGTGGGCATACTCTGTGGTTCTTGCATATATTATATATTTTGCAAATATATAAGAAGTATTTTTGGTAAGATATTGGTATTTCTAGGTTAACAAGAACAGATTTGACTTTGCTTTGATCGTTTTATACCTAGTAGCTAATGCAGAATGGATTTTTACAATAAAAATCATAGGAATAATAAGACTAATATGATTGACATGGTCAAAAAATAACAAGAACTGGATAGAAAAGGGGGTGGGAGAAGAAAATCTGTATATTAAACAACAACTTTGGCCAGAGGATTACAAGGTTGAGCCTAAGCTTTGGTCTTCATATTTATCAGACCGAGAAAAAAGAATTGCTACAGCTGAGCCCTGAATGAAGCATTTCATACATTACTGCACTACTATCAGGTAGGTATCTTGATCTTCATTTTGTAAAGTAGGAAAGTAAGGTTCACAGGGGTTATCTGACCTTCCTGAGGCCATGCAGCTATCATGTGATAGTATCACTCTAAGAAATGATGAAGTTATTTCATTGGCACCCTACCTCCAAAACCCTGAGCCGTCTCTACACCCTCTTACTTTTTCTGCAAGCATCCCCAGCATGAAGTCTTCCAGCACAAAGAAAGTTTTCTGGCTGGGAGTAGGAAGAGCTAGGCTTGCTGATAGTTCACAGGAGAGCCCTGGCCAAGGTAGGCTTACAGAAGAACTTCCCTCCCCACTCCCAAACAAAAAATTCCTTGAGTTGTTTCTGAATGTCCCATACTTGAGGCTGGGCAGCGTGTCCAGGGATCGAAGCCCTGGCACCTCATCTTGTACCCATCAAACTGAATTCAGAGAGGGAGGGAAGAAGGGAGGAGAGGATGGGGCTGCTTCTGATTAGCTTGCATCTTCTGCCAAAGTGAGATGTCCTCTCCCAGTGGACAATTAAATGGTTCTCACGGACCTGCCATCTGGGTTCAGCGGAGTGTGGAATGGCTGCTCTCTGTCTCCACCCTACCCCACCCTTGTTTGTGGAGCAGGCCAATGAGACTCAGGAAATCTAGCCCTTTCTCCACTTCTTACCCTTCTTCCTTTCCTGGCATAGCTGCGGCTAACCCAGTCTTCCAGCCCTTCTTTCTCAGTCGTTGAAGACAGTCCAGGAGCACACCCTCTCAGTGGCCCTGAAAAGAGCTAGGGAGCCACCCCTGTCACTGTGCTGGACCTTGGGAAAGGGACTGGTGGCCCCCAAAATGGAAGCAGCATCAAATTCCCCAGACACTCCCTGAAAGATTCCTGGAGAAGCAAAGCCCTGACTCAGTCACAAATTCAGAACAAACTCATGGCTTGCTGTTGCTGTTATTGTTGGTTTGTTTTTAGGTGGACTGACCTGTGAGTTGTGGTAGAGGCCAGCAATGGGAGGTGCCAACAAGCTTAGACAAAATCACTGAGTGGGAAAGGGATGTCTGATTTGTTTGTCCTGGCTCCTCAGGCCCCATCTTCCCTACCCACAGCTTTCAGATCCATCTGCTAACAAACATTCACTTGTTTAACTCCTGTGTACCAGGCACTGCACGGGACCCTAGGCCTGACCTGACCCATATCTTGGCAGGGGAGGATAGACAGCCAGGTAAACAGGCAGTGAGAGACCTGTTAGATTTATAGAAGCTGTGATAAAAACTCAAGAGGGGAAGTGTGAGATGCACCTTGGAGACAGATTTTGAAGGGTGCAGAGGAGCTTGTCTGGCTCAGAAGGGAAGAAAGTGCCAGAAAACAAAATAACTAGCAACTGTGCTAAGCTTTTGTTTTGTACAATGCTTCCTCCTAAATAATCTCATTTGATTCCTAAAACAACTCTTTTAGGTTGGGAAGGAAGGCATTATAGTCCTGGCTCACAGCAGATACCTCATAAAAGTTTTTCCTGTTGGAGACAAGGAAACTGAGGGTCCAGAGAAGGTAAATCTTTGTCCAAGGTCACAGAGCAGGAAGCAGGGAGCCAGGGCTCAAACGCAGTTCCCTGGCTCCGAATCCTGAGTGCTTCAGTGGTTTTCAGTATGAGGTCCATAGACTGCTGGAGTCCTTTTGAGAGTACATGAGTTCTCTATGAGGATTTTCAAGTGTGTTTATTTTGCTGATTATTTAACAAATTAATATAGGCATATTCTGGGTCACTGTGATGGCTCCTCATGGCTAAGTACACACAGGATTTTGAAGCCCACATCTTTGTCTGTGTTTACACACGGATCAGAAGCGTCATAGAATTCACCTTGAATTGCTATTTAAAAAAGAGACGTAGATTTAATGTATAAATGAAGCCCTGTCACCACTGAATGCCGAGTGCCCACTGTAACAACCAAGGTTTCACAGTAGCCTAAAAAAAAAAAAGCTGACTCCATAGCAGTAGCTAACATATTTATGTTGCCAGTAACACTTTAATTTTTGCAAAACAACATCATTAGTCACGTTAAATTAACCCAAACTGGCTTAAACAATAAAGGGATATTTTTTAGTTGACATAACTGAAAATTCTCAAGACTTTATGCCTTCAGGATCAATTTGATCAAGGCTCCAACTCCATTTCTCTGTAATACTCTTGGCTCTGCTCTCTTCCATGTGTTTGTTTTGACCACAGGCTGGTTGCACGTTGTCCACTATCAGCAACTGGGCCATACACTTCTTTATTTGCATCTGGGGGAAAGAGAAAGCATCTGTTGACACACAGAATGAAAGTCTTGAGTTTTGCTCATTAATTGGGCTATCCTTGAACCAACCTCTGTGTCCAAAAGAATGCCAGGATATCTTTGGTTTAGGGCTTTTATAGCAAGAGAGATCGGTTGACCCTGATTGGCTTATACCAAGCAGAGCCCACCCTTACACAGAAGGTGCCATCCCGTGGGAAAGAGGACAAAGGATATTGAAGAGCTAACTACACTGTCCACTATATGTGGTTAGAACGTTACAGGAAGAAAAGTGCCATGGACAAAACCCCTAAGAAAAGAAGTTCTTAGCAGAACTACCTCAAGAATTACCTCAAGCCAGGGCATTCTAAGCCATGGTAAGAAATTGGGATTTTTTTTTTTCTTCTAAGTGCAATGGAAAGCCATTGAGGAATTTTAATAAAGGAAGGACATAATCAGGTTTATCTTTCAATATAATGCCAGCTGCTATGTGGAAATGGGTTGTGAGGAATGAGAAAAGAGTGGAAATGGGAAAGCCAGTTAGGAAGCAGTTGTAATGATCCAGGCAAAACGGATTTATCATGATGCTCATGAAGCTTATGCTTCAAGGCTCCTCACTAGCACAAATCTCTTACAAGGTGCTCTTGAGAGAGCCTTGTAATGCACTCTCATACTCACATGTTTTCATAGAATTTGTGAGAGTAAGATAGTTAATAGAACCAGATGAACTGCCATCTCTTCTACTCTAACTCACCCTCCATCACACTTGCCCTCATGACAGATGACCTTAGCATGACCATGAGGATTCAGGGCATCCAGCTAAGTGGAGGTTGAATTGGGGAAATACTTAGTGTGGGTTTGGTGGCATGTATTTGTGTGGTTCTGTGAAGTTCTGCCAGCAAGGGCCTAAGCAGTAAGATAGCCTCCATACCTTCCTTTTTTTTCTCTCTTCACCATCACACTGTATTTTTTTTTTTTAGATTTTATTTATTTATTTATTTGTCAGAGAGAGAGAGCACAAGCAGGGGGAGTGGCAGAGGGAGAGGGAGAAGCAGGCTCCCTGCTGAGCAAGGAGCCTGATGCAGGACTGGATCCCAAGACCCTGGGATCATGACCTGAGCTGAAGGCAGACACTTGACTGACTGAGCCACCCAGGCGTCCCCACCATCACACTATATTTAATGAGTCTCCCACTGCTACCCTTGTGGTCCAGGCCTGACCCAATATCCTCCTAATTCATCTTCCTTTTCTAGTCCTGGCCCCTTCAGCCCATCCTCCACACTGCCCCCAGAAAAGCCTTTCTGAAACAAAACAGAACAAAACAAAGATTGGATACCATCACCCCTTGGATTAAAAACCTTGATGAGAACTGTCCATTGCCCACAGGGTAAAGTTTATCATGTTCCAAAACCTATTTCTATTCTTTTTCCATCTCTTCTTGACCTCCTGAATTAAGAATTACTCGATATTTTCTATTTAACCTATAGTCGTACAAAATAATAGGTAATGAAAGGAAGAACAAATGGATGATGTTGACTTCTCTTCAATTTATCCACTCCTGAGCCTGGCACTCTTGCTTTTCTGTGGCTACAGCTCTGGGAAGTGTTTTGTTGTACCTTATACCCCATTTACTCCCAGTGGCTTATGTCAAGTAGGAGTGAGAACTGATGTTGACCTATGAGGGAAGAACTGTGATGTGTTCCTTTTGACCACCTCTTTGCCCAAGAGCAATGCTATTTAATTGGTTTGACAGATGATTATCACTGAAAAAATTCTGTGATGGTCCTGCTGGCAAGGGTGTAAACCCTGTATGAATTTCTGAACCTGACTTTGGGGAAGGAGTGGGAGATTGGGTCAGGGCTGGTAAGGAAAAAAGTGAAGCATGAGTATAAAGACTAGCCAATTTTTGTGGTTGATACTCAAACAGACTCAAAGTGTTCTGTTTGTTTGTTTAATAAAAATGTTGACATTGTCCCTAGAACCCAAGTCTAAGGAAGAAAACAACTCCATAAAATTGATAAAACTCTAGCCAGACTAATCAGAAAATTGAGAAGACACAAATTACCAGTATCAGAATGAGATAGGATATATCACTGTTGATTCTACAGATATTTTAAAAATAACAAGGAAATCTTTTAAACAACTTCAGGCCAAGAAATTTGACAGCTTAGATGAAATGGACAAATTTCCTGCAAGATACAAACTATCAAAACTTACTCAAGAAGAAACTGATAACTCAAATATTCCTATATCTATTGAAGAAACTGAATTCATAGTTGAAAACCTTGATATTGGTGTCAAGATAAACAAGTAAATCAATAGAAAGAACAGAGAGTCCAGAAACTGACCCACATGTATATGGTCAATTGACCAACAAAGAAAAAAACTTATCAGAGAGAGGATCATCTTTTTAACAGATGATGTTGGAATACCTATATATCCAGAAGAAGAAGAAGAAGAAGAAGAAGAAGAAGAAGAAGAAGAAGAAGAAGAAGAAGAAGAAGAAGATTGATTCATGCCTAATACCATAAACAAAAATTAACTCAAATAGATATTTATTTATTTTTTAAATCTTTTATTTATTTATTTATTTTAAAGAGAGAACGTGAACAAGCGGGGGCAGGAGCAGAGGGAGATGGACAAGTAGGCTCCACACTGAGCATGGAGCCCGACCCAGGGCTTGATCCCATGACCCTGAGGTCATGACCTGAGTCAAAATCAAGAGCCAGATGCTCAACCGACTGAGCCACCTAGGAAACCCTCAAATAGATATTGATTTAAATCAATAAACTTTTAGAAGTTGTATAGAAGGAAATGAAAAATCACTGTGACCTTGGGTTGGGCAAAAATTCCTTAGTTACAACATTAAAAGAAAAGAAACAATTGGTTAATTGGGAGTCATCAAAATTAATTTGCTCTTCAAAAGATACTTTTAAGGGAATGAAAAGACAAGCCACAGACTGGGAGAAAATATCTGCAAATTTTATATCTGAGAAAGTGCTTGATCCAGAACATATGAAACACTCTCATATCTCAGTAATAAGAGAACAACCAAAGAAGAAGGAGGAGGAGGAGGACAAGGAAGACAGGAAAATAAGAAAAAAGAAAAATGGAACAGACACTTCACCAAAGAAGATATACAGATGGCAGGGGCGCCTGGGTGGCTCATTCGTTAAGCGTCTGCCTTCAGCTCAGGTCCTGATCCCAGGGTCCTGGGATCGAGCCCCACATCGGGCTCCCTGCTCTGCGGGAAGCCTGCTTCTCCCTCTCCTGCTTCTCCCTCTCCTGCTTCTCCCTCTCCCACTCCCCCTGCTTGTGTTCCCTCTCTCACTGTCTCTCTGTCAAATAAATAAATAAAATCTTTAAAAAGAAAAAAGATATACAGATAGCAAATAAGTACATGAAAATATACTTAAGTTTACTAATCATTAGAGAATGCAAATTAAAACCACAATCATTGCTCCCATATTAAAATGCTAAAATTTAAAAGTGTGACCATACTATGTGTTAGTGAGATTGTGGAGAAAGTGGAATTCTCATATATTACTGGTTGGAATGTAAAATGGCACAACTTTGGTAAGTTTCTTAAAGATTTAAATACATGTCCACATGTGATCCAGCCATTACACTCCTAGGTATTTACCCAAGAGAAATGAAAGCACATGTCCATGCAAAGACTTGTATACAAATGTTCATGGCTGTACTATTTGTCATAGCCAAAAATGGAAACAACTGAAATGCCCTTAATAGATGGATGGATAAACAAATTGTGGTATACTTCTCAGCAAAAAAAATAAAATAAAATAAAATAAAATAAAGGTACTAACTATTGATACACACAACAATATGGATAAATCGTAAAATAATTATGCTGAGTAAAAGAAGCCAGGCAAATAAAATAGTGTGTACTGTATGATTTCATTTATATAAAATTCTAGGAAATGCAAACTAATGTAACAGAGAGCAGCTTGTTATTGCCTATTGATGAATGAGAGGAAGGTAGTGCAAGATGGAAAAATTACAAAGGGTGCAAGACTTTTGGGAATAATAGATATGTTCCTGTGTTATTTCCAGTCAAACTGGTTGTAGATCCAGCTGAATGTACAGTATTGTGTAGCCCAGAGGTGGGCATGATGGTTTATTGTGAGAAGGAAATGCATGACCTGGCATTCTACAGACCAGTGCTTCTCAAAATTTTGCATACACCTTATTGCTTTAGAGCTGTGCTGTCCAATACTGTAACCACTAGCCACATGTGGCTATTTAAATTTAAATTAATTTAAATGAAATAAAATTAAAAAGTTCATGAGTCATGCTAGTATTCAGTAGACACGTGGCTAGTGGCTACTGTATTGCCCAGTGCAGATAAAACGACACTCCTACTCTGAAGCCTTGCTTTTCAAATGTGTGGTCTGTGGATCAACTTGGCACTATCTGGGCGCTTGTTGGAAATGCATAATCTCTCCTCCCATAAGATTTTATGCACATTAAAGTTTGAAAAGTCCTGGTCTAGACAGTCTAGAGACAGCTACACAATAGATTTTGAAGTACAGGGAGATTTAATGTTGCATATTAGGACATGGGGCTTGGGTCTTTCCTTTGAGCTGCCAACTTGGAGTTAACAGGGAAAACAAAAAGAGCTCTCATGAATCCAATCTGGGTCTTGGATAAAGCTAGAACACTATGGGGGCAAGCACAGAATACAAGAAAGTAAGGTTTGGTCATAGGTGACCTGTCACTTAGCCAAGGTCAGGAGAAAGAGGGGCAGAACCAGGAAGAGGAATTGGTGCACCACAATTCCATTTTCACAGGCAGGGATGGGGCAGTCCAGGACCCAGAGCAGAAACAGGGACAGTCATCACTGTTTGCTTAAACATCTGGTGGCTCCTGGCTCTGTGTTTTTTTTCCAATCACAGACTTCCAAATCTCAAAGCTGGAAGGGTGTTTAGGAGCAACACTCACCCCATTTTCACTCAGTGATCACAGATACACTAAGAATTCCACAGGGCT